TGTGTTCAGGGTTGCCTTGGAGACTTTAGATCGCCTGACTGAGTCATTGGACTTCACGGATTATGCCTCCAGAATTATTCACCCCATTGTGCGCACTCTCGACGTTACTCCAGAGCTGCGAAACACATCCATGGACACACTGTCCTCACTGGTCTTTCAGCTTGGCAAAAAGGTACAAGCTCAAAGCCTAGTTTAAATCTTGTAGTACGATCTGAAAGTTTAGTCAAAATAGTTTAATAGCTTTTTGAAAATAAAAGTCATGAACTTGTGTTCTGGAGTAACCGTCTAATGATTTCCTAGTGTCTCTCTAATGCACAAAAAGGCTTCCAATCAGAGAGAGGGATGAGGTCATTGCTTTTACCATTCCTCCTAAAACCCTCTTAGAATTACCACTCAACATGTGGCCATCATGAGCACCAGACACAAGTTCTGATTCCTTTGATCACTGCAGGCCACAATCTTCAGTTTCCTGTGTTTAGAGGAGCAACACTTTATTTGTGTACTTACTAGTTGATGGGGTTTAGTCACATGTACACACATGTGCACGCATTCACTCCCAGCATGTGTTCAGGGTTGCCTTGGAGACTTTAGATCGCCTGACTGAGTCATTGGACTTCACGGATTATGCCTCCAGAATTATTCACCCCATTGTGCGCACTCTCGACGTTACTCCAGAGCTGCGAAACACATCCATGGACACACTGTCCTCACTGGTCTTTCAGCTTGGCAAAAAGGTACAAGCTCAAAGCCTAGTTTAAATCTTGTAGTACGATCTGAAAGTTTAGTCAAAATAGTTTAATAGCTTTTTGAAAATAAAAGTCATGAACTTGTGTTCTGGAGTAACCGTCTAATGATTTCCTAGTGTCTCTCTAATGCACAAAAAGGCTTCCAATCAGAGAGAGGGATGAGGTCATTGCTTTTACCATTCCTCCTAAAACCCTCTTAGAATTACCACTCAACATGTGGCCATCATGAGCACCAGACACAAGTTCTGATTCCTTTGATCACTGCAGGCCATAATCTTCAGTTACCTGTGTTTAGAGGAGCAACACTTTATTTGTGTACTTACTAGTTGATGGGGTTTAGTCACATGTACACACATGTGCACGCATTCACTCCCAGCACTCAAAAGCATTTTATTCTACCGCATGGAATCAAAATAATCATTACAGTATGCTTGTTTTGCTCCTCATAGCGAATGTCAGAAGTACTTATACCAAATTGATATTATAAATAAATTATAAATAAAAAGAAGTAATGATACTAATGTCTACAATATTAGTACTAAGTACTGACTTAATTTGCTACACGTGCTGTATCTGACTGACTTTTTTTCTTTTTGCTTTTGTTACTGATAAAAAAAAAACATGAAGCAGTGTTTTCTTAATTGAGAAGTACTTGAAGGCTAGATGTAATTGCTTTAATTTCATTCATTAATATTCATATACTTTTTTTACTTTTTAAATAAAGTTGTTTGTTTAATATCATAATAGATTTTTGCTGTGTTGTGAAAGTTACTATTCATATGAAAAAGAATATGTCTGCATATTTCTCTTTCACAGTACCAGATCTTTATCCCTATGGTGAACAAAGTGATGTTGAAGCACCGCATCAATCACCAGCGCTACGATGTTCTCATCTGTCGAATCGTCAAGGTCAGCATCCCGCCCTCTCCACGCCTGCATGCATAATGTTTCTTTGCAAAATCATAATTTTTCCACATAGACTAGGTCCCTGATGGCAATTCAGTCCTGTTTGTGTTAGAGGAGCTTGTCTGAAACAAACCACCTCTTGTGTTCTGGTGGAGAAGCCTGCCTCTGTTTCCTGCATTTGGCCCCCTGTGTGAACCACCACTCATTCTTTGCTAGTGAACCCAGACTTCCTGTTTCAACACATGGTCTCTTGGCATCCAAAACTAATCTTTGTTTTTGACATGCATAATATTTCCTATTGACATTGAATTACCGACACATAATGCTGGTGTAAAGAAAAGTTTCTTGCCCCTCTTTTGAAGAAGAAATTATTTATTTAGAAAAATACATATTTGTGCCCCCTCTCGGCAATAAAACCTAAATAGTTGGTGTCCCGTAATTTAAAAAAAGATGCTGTTGATATGCTTGAAATGTTTGATATGTCAAATAAGTATAGCATAAAAATGTTTGTTTGTATATTCAATTTATTGTATAAAATATTTGTTAATTATTAACTCGTAGGTACCAAAACGTAATATTTAACCTTACCCCAGGGTAACTCTGTTAAACCTTATTTTATGCATTTTAAAGGGGTGGTTGACTGTTTTTTTTCTAGGCTTGATTGTGTTTATGGGGTGCAAACTAACGTGTTAATGCTTTGTTTGAAAAAAAAAAAAACGCATTATTTTTCACATAATTGACCTTTATTCAACACCGCTCTGTCCCTTCTCCTCTAAACACGCTGATCATTTCCTGCTTTTATGAAGCCCCTCCTTCAGAAATAGGCGATGGGCTCTGAATTGTTAGCTGGTCCAGTGTGTTGTGATTGGCTAAACCGCCTCTAGTGCGCGTCTAAACGTCCCGCCCATTACCTCAGTGGCATGTGCTACGGTTGTATTGTAAACAATGACGCCGTTAATATCGCTTATCAATTTGAGCCCGATTGAGACCCAGAGAATATTAATGAAGAGGATCGTGCAGAACCTGTGCAAGCACGG